TCCAGGGGCAAGTGGGGAGTATCCCATCACCCTCCTGCCTTGTGTCGATGATGGGACAGGGCTTTGGGGCGGGGGGTAGACAGGAGGGGAGTGACTCGCTGCAGGATTCCCAGCCTCTGACGTGCTCCTGTAGCCCCTGTGTGCATGTGGGGAGGGTCCGTGTTCAGTTTCTGGATCAGATAGTGACTGTGGGGAGGGAGAGGTTTCTCAGGGTAATGAGGGGAGGATTCAGGGACTCACGGTAGAGATTGAAGGTCACATTGAGCTGAGCTAGAAGCCCAAGTCGCAAATGCAGATGGCAGAAGTGTAGGTTGGTGAGCAGAGAGGCAAGACGGGAGAGTTGCCCACACAGGATCTAGAACGAGAGAGAGAGAGAGAGAGAATCAAACAGCGTCTAGTAACAGCAAAATTGACAGCTCACCCATCCATCTACTCCCACTAGTCTCAGTCCAGTCTCTCACAGATACACTCTCCACAACATAGTGCTGGAGAACGGACAGACCTAGGGGCTCAGGTACATAATTCTTTGAAGTTTGTGTCACATGTAGACAGGGATGGTTCAGAAGGTGTTTATCACGCTCGCCTTCATTGCTCAGTCCTTTGAGTGTAGGAGTTGGGGACGTCACGTTGAGGTTGTACAGGGACGTTGGTGAGGCCTCTTCTGGAGAACTGTGTCCAGTTCCGGTCTCCCTGTTACAGGAAGGATGTTATTGAGCCGGAGAGGGTTCAAAAGAGATTTACCAGGATGTTGCCGGGTGTGAAGGGTTTGAGTTATAAGGAGAGGCTGGGACTTTTTTCACTGGAGCGTAGGAGGGGTGACCTTATAGAGGTTTATAAAATCGTGAGGAGTATAGATAAGGTCAATGGCAGGTGTCTTTTCCCCAGGGTGGGGGGATTCGAAGACGAGGGGGCACATTTTTAAGGTGAGAGGAGAGAGATTTAAAAAGACATAAGAGGCAATTTGTTTTTTTTTTTACACAGAGGGTGGTTCGTGTGTGGAATGAGCTTCCTGAGGAAGTGGTGGATGTGGGTACAGTTGCAGCGTTTAAAAGACATTTGGGATAAGTACATGAATGGGAAAGGTTGGGAGGGATATTGGCCCAGGAGCAGGCGAGTGGAACTAGTTTAGTTTGGGATTAGGGTCGGTACGGACTGGTTGGGCCGAAGGGTCTGTTTCCGTGCTGTGAGTCTACGTACATGTCCCAGTCTCCCACTCCCTGTTGTGTATACACACACACACACACACAGACACAGACACACACTTGCTCCAGCCTCACCAAGGACTGAGAGTCGGACCTTACCAGATGCTGCGGAAGGTCAGGAAGCACTTCGGGGTCACAGTTAGCGAACAGCCCATTCCCCTCGGGGTCCATCAGTCTCCAGAGCTGAACTGTGGGTGAGCAGGATAACACAGGATATCAGTTCCCATTCTCTCCGTGGGAGAGGGGTCTGTGAACCAGAGAGTGGTGTGTGGCTGGGCCGGATAGGGAGGCCGGGAGGGCAGGGGGCGGGAGGGCGGTGGTGGGTTTGGAAGATGGTGCATTGGTGCAGATGAGGAGAAGGCTCGGGATGAGGAGAAAGTGGGATTGTAAACACTGGGAACGCCAGGAACTAACCGAGGAGGCAATGAGTCGCGTTTCTGAAGTATCAGGAGAAGGTGGGATTGAGGGATCAGGAGAGAGAGGGGGACGGAGTAGGATTGAGGGACGTAGAGAGGAAGTAGGATTTGAGGAATCGAGGGATAAATTGGGCCTGAGGGAGCGAGGGGGGGAAGGTGGGATCGAGGGGTAAATTGGGCCTGAGGGAGCGAGGGGGGAAGGTGGGATCGAGGGGTAAATTGGGCCCGAGGGAGCAAGGGGAGAGAAGGCGGGCCCAAGGGGAGAGAAGGCAGGCCCGAGGGAGCGAGGGGAGAGGAGGCGGGCCCGAGGGGGGAGGGCGACAAGAGCGCTACGCGACCGCGTGTCCCCCACTCACCACTCACCAGCCAGCAGCTGGCGGAGCTGTCTCTCACGCCTGGCGTCCCTCAGGTACCTCTGCCACACGGCCTCCCGCAAAAGGTCACCAGAGAGTCGGAGACGGGAGGCCGGCATCTCGGCCGGAGGGGTCCAGATCCCCAGGATGCTGTCAGAAAACGGGGGAGACTTTCAGAGACAGAGAGAGAGAGAGAGAGAGAGAGAGAGAAACAGGGAGCATGTCGACCCGTTGCCCATCCCTGATCCGACTGCACGCCTCGTCCCGAATTCCCGAGCCGGTCCCTGTGGAGCTACTTAATTTGCCGAAAACAGGGAGGAAGAAAAGGCGCGTTTATTCTGCCGCTGTTCCCGTCCTAGCTCAGATACAGCCCCGCGAGCCCTTAGCCCGCCCCGCACACCACCCCGACAAACCCTTTCAGGAAACCCGCCAGGTTTACCCGATCCCCCCTCGGAAAACACGAAAGGAGTGCGCCTGACGCCATCTTGTGCCCACGAAACCGTGCCACCTCTGCCCGACGCTTCCCGCACCTTTGGGCGGTCATTCCTTTTAAGACATGAGATTTGTCCAGTACCTATTTTCAGCCGTTTTGGGGCACCTCTCTCCTGATTACACTTCGATTTGTTTCCCAACTAATCTCCGGGTGCTTTTTCTCTCCTCTCTTTAATTAAGAATTCTTTCTAAATAAAAAAAGTTCAAAGTTTCTACTGCTTCCCAATTTCCCGATAATTTTCCAGTCTTCTCTAAAGGACAACAATCACTTCAGCTACTCTCCTACTTTCAGTCACCCGTGCTCTCTATCGGTAGAATCTCTTGCCTGGGTCCCACAACTCCAATCTGCCAAAACATCTCTGAAAGTTAGGCACGATTTCACCCTTCCCCACGGCCGCCGATCCCTCCAAAAGTCAACCAGCTCCTCACCTCCGGAGGCTACGCATCAGCCGGGCGAAGGTGGCCATGGGGACGGGCCTGCGCGGCTTCACGGCCCCTTGCATCACTTCCTCCCAGCTGGGCGAGGCACTTCCAGTTGGCAGCCCACGGCTCGTGCACAGGACACAGTAAAGGTCTCGCTCCCTCAAGCCTGCGGGACAGCAACGTCAGAGAGAAACACCAGGTTCAACACTCCCAGGGAGGAGGGGGGAGTGGGTTAGAGGCACTGCCTCCTCATCTGGTCAAATCCAACTCCCAGACACCAAAGATAAAGCACAAACCTCAGTGATTGTGGACAGAATAGTGTAGAGGGAGCTTTACTCCGTATCTAACCCTGTCCCTGGGAGTGTTTGATGGGGGGGGGGGGGGGGGGCAGGGTTGAGGCAGCTTTTCTCCGTATCTAACGCCCTTCTGTCCCTGGGAGTGTTTGATGTGGGGGACAGTGTAGAGGCAGCTTTATTCTGTACCTAACCCCATTCTGTCCCTGTCCCTGGGAGCGTTTGATGGGGGGACAGTGCAGAGGGACCTTTACTCTGTATCTAACCCCATTCTGTCCCTGGGAGTGTTTGATGGAGGGGGGGGGACAGTGTAGAGGGAGCTTTGCTCTGTCTCTAACCCCATGCCATTCCCAGCCTGAGTGAATGACCGCCTCCTGTTTCCTGTCTGTCCGTGCCGTACCTTTCGTGCTGACGTGGAGCGCACCGAGGGCGACGGTCACCATATCCTGCCCCTGCTCCCGCTCCAGGCATCCGAGAGCGTGTTGGATGAGCCCGCACAGAGTCGGCGGCAAAGCGCGGATCTGGTCCGACACCTGGGAAAAGGGGAGAGGAGGGAAAGAGGGATTCGTGAGCGTGGGGTGGGGGGAGGTGGTGAGAGGTGACAACTGAGCGAAGGCACGAAAAAACGCGGTGAGGCGAGCGATCCTGCTCCGGACAAGAACCAGGAACGAGGGAAAGACAGACAGAGACAAGGAGAGGGAGCATGATCCACGCTCCATACCCAACCATCCTCTCCCGAACCCCTCAGCCCCAGTCTTTCTGGGAATGAGCTTATCCCAGACCGGATTCAAGGGTCGGGGGTTACTGGCCACACTCTCCCTCTCCCGTTCAGGGTAAGCGTCTGTGCAAATCTTTTCTTCTTCATTTAGAAACGGGGTGGGCGTACTGTCCCACCTTTTCTTGGCGGGGGGGTCCCTTCCTTTGCGCAGACGCAGTGCCCCACCACACCGTCAGCCCTTCGGTGGACACATGAACTGGTTCCCCCATCTTTGTAAGGGGCAAAGCTCCACTGAGAATGTGTAGGCACCACCTTTCTGGGGTGGCAACGCTCCATCGAGAAGGTGTAGCCGCCATCTTTCTGGGAGGCAACACTCCATAGAGAATTTGCAGCCACCGTCTTTTTGGGGGGCAACACTATAGAGAATGTGTAGCCACCATCTTTCTCGGGGGCAATGTTCCACAGAGAATATGTAGCCACCATCTTTCTGGAGGGGGCAACGCTCCATAGAGAATGTGTAGCCACCATCTTTCTGGGG